GTATCTCTATTTGTTCTTTTTCTCTCAAACTTCCTAACCTAATCGAATTATCATAATGCTTCTTTCTTATCCAAATTCTGATTTGTTGAGGCTACGTTTTCACATCACTGAGACTTCATGCTCTCTTGATTAATTGGGTATTGAAAATCTCTATCCAGGTAATTATTATGATAAAAACATCATAAATTTTCTTACGTTCATCTTAAATAAACTTCTTTGTTACTTAAGTGGGCACGATATATATATATATATATATATAATCAAATTATATATGTGTGTGGCCGGTTTTATTTAATTAATTATTGGTCACGTACATATATGTTTTTTCACTTCAGTAATTACTATGGCTTCTCAAAGATTTTACTCCGTTGGTTTTATCTTTGTAAAAATAAATTGCATCAATTAAGCTGGTCGATTTTGTAAAATTGAGGCTCTAGGATATGGTCAATTGATGAATTTGATTTTTGTTGTTTTTCTTCTTTTGTTATGTTCTACAATGAAAATGAAAACTTGAATGTGACCTAAGTCATATGTTCAACTTGCTTCTCTTATACAAACAATAACAACGTATAACTTACACGATATTTCCTCCCTTAGTCATTCATTATTCACACAAAAGTACTATACTTGTTTCTTTCGTATTTTTCATTCTTCTTTAAATATTTTATCCGTAAAAAAGATTGCACCAAAATCAATGTAATATTAATTATTTATTTTCTAGCAATGACAGTTATCCTTAAATAGTCGTACATAAAACTTATATATCAGTGACCTACCACTTGTACTAATTTCATATTGTACGTGTAAATATGAACTTAGAAATATATTCCATTCGTCAAAAGATCAGTCCGCAAGTTAGTTGAATTTGAGGGTAGAAATTATTATATTAAGGCTTCGGCTTTGTTTCATAAATACATAAAATGAATGTACACATTATTTTCAATAAAATATGACTTTTCAATTGCAGGGAAAAAAAACTCATATCTAGAACATTATTTTTGTTAGATTTCTTATATTAAGAATGATTGAGAATATTATACTATACTAAAATAGCTTAAGCCTCTTGGTTAGATACTTCCTAAGCTTATATGTTTATAATCTATCTTTTAATTAGATGTAAGATTTCTTTTATATTCTAATATTCCATCTACTACTTTTCTCTCTCATTTTTTTCCTCTTCTTCTAGCCTAAGCTTATACTTTTTTTTTTAATTTCAAAGGCCTCAAATCTATTTAATTTTCCCCCCTTATCCTTCTCCTTCTCCTTCTCCTTCTTCTTTAAATCTCTTGTTTTTTTTTTCATCTTTCATTCTTTTTCTTCTTTATTTTTCTCTCCCTTTTTTTGGTCCTTGATTGAATAGCTCTAATATCATATTAAATTTTTTACATTAAAAATGCTTAAGTATAGTATACTCTCAAAATAGTTTAAACCTTTTGATTAGATATTTTTTAAGTTTATATATTTATAATCTATTTTCTAATTTTTTAATGTGGAACTTCTTTTATGTTCTAATAATTTTCCTAGTAAATTTGATATAACAATATCAATCATTTCAAAACATACTTGATCTCTTCCTATAAAAAAAATACATGTCTTTAACTTTTATAATTTAGTTTAATAACTAGGGGCTATGCAATGATCTATACTGCTATAGTGCTCGTGATTTACCAATAGTACAATTTCTTACCACTTATTTATCACTTGTTATTCAAATATATTGAATATCAAATAGATGGTTATAATTTTTTTTATCAAGAAATCGAACCCTGAAATTACTAGAATGAATTAAATATGTTGACATAACTTCGTCGCATCTTCCATTTTATTTTTTCTTTTCTTTCAAGAAAATGAATTCATTTACCATGGAAAACAGGGATTGTATAATTCCAGAAGAAAAGGTCTTACACAAGCTCCTTTTTTTCCACCTCTTCTCCATCCAATTAAGACTCGTCATTTTAATATTTTAAATATCAAGAGTTGACAAAGTAAATACTATATTTTTCTAGAGAGATATAGAGATAGAAAGAGAGAAAAGCTGTTAAAAGTTAAATAATTGACCCACTTGGCTTCAATAATGAGTCACATAAAACAATTTGGAAGAGATAAAGGAGGAAGCAAAGAAACACATAACAGAAGAACCTCACTTTCTCTTTTTCTACTTTTCTCAGTTCTCGAGAAATTATAACTATATAATAAATTAAAAAAATAATTTATCCATCAAGAAAAGTACAAGAAATTTTTTAAAAAAAAGTCCAAAAAATTAACGAAACCGTGATCGACAGGAAAACCGAATGTGATTAATTTGTAGAAGACACTGAACTGGGATTTTTTTTTTTTTTGAGAAGACAAAGATGAAGGGTTGTGATGAGGATATATGGTCGTTATCTAATAATTGGTGGAATATAAAACGTTCGCGAATAATAGAATGAATGCCTTAATTTATTAACCGAAAAAAAAAATTAATGGCTTAATTCTTCATATAATATAATACGCATATGTGGATGGTTGGTGGATTACTATTATAATAATGACTTTGAAATTAGAAATATTAATTTTGGAGCGTTCTTTCTTTTTCTGCCCATAACTTCACTGGCTTTCCATTCTCATTATTCGTTGAAAAAGTTTCAAGGTCGGACATACAAATCCCACTTCGACTTTGTCGTTAACTAAGCAGAGTCCTGAGAAATATCATTCTTAACGCCACGCTTTGTCCCTACTGTAACAATTCTCTCCTCAATTTTCCCCTCTAACCAAACATCACCATTTAACGAACCTTATGTTAAGGAATCTTTATTGGCAGCATAATCTGAGAAATATATGTGCGCGCGCGCGCCAAAACATTAGACAACTTTATTTGGGATGGGAACGGCCAAACACACATCTTAACTAAAAATTTCAAAACTCAAGTTTATGAATTAGTCTCCTTTATTATATATTAATTATTGTTGGATGTTGGATTCTCTGTGGCTTAAAATCCACTTATATTTAAACAACCTAACAAACTTTAGAGGGTTTTGCTTTCGTATTATTGTTTGACTCTGTTTTTTTTTTTTTTGACCTCCAAATTGGATAAAAAATTATGTTGAAAAATTTTGAAAATTATAATACTTTTTTAGGATCAAAAGTTACGATCATATAATAATTAGCACCAGATTTTAAAATTATGCAATCAAAATAATTATGTAACACTTAAGGTTTCCCCAAAAAAATGATAGTAATCATTTTGTAAAACAAGAGAAGCATATTGATAAAAACAAAAAGAGAGGTATGGGCCCTTAAGCATCATTACAAGGTCTTCAAAGAAAACAACTTCTTCAATGGCGTTTAGATTTATCAATAGATTAATTTTATGACTATTAACTGTGGGGATGCCTTGGTCCTTGGATAACAAAAATAAAAAAAAAAGGGTAAATCTTAGCTTTTGAGCCCATATTAAGGGATGAATTGTTGGTTAATTGTTTGTGTGTTCAAAGCTGAGCATCAACGAACCTTCCGGTGATCCCCACAGAAGAAAGAAATATGAGTTATTAAAAGAACAAGTTTAGAAGCAGATAGGATTTAGTGCTCGTTAATTTTGGTGTTTATTTCTCCATACGATTCTTCTAGGAATTTAATTTCATTATTTAAATAATTGATGTGGTCCGCAACTCTCAAAGCTAAGTACGAAATTAAAGAAATTACACTTGTACGTATACCAGCAACTAATCTTATCATAATAATAGACCCTGGTGACAATTTTTCAAGATCCATGAGGGTGAAAGATTACGATACATACATGTGTGGGCGAGAGGAAGGAAACTTATGGACGAAGAAGAAGCAAATATTTTAGTACGTTTTATTTCTTTGGCCATTTTGTGCATGGAATATTTGAAGTACAGTTTATGAAACTGGTGCTATGTGTGTGTGTGTGTATATATATGGGCTGTGGAAAAAATTAGACTAGTTATTTTGCTTTTTTACCCTATAATTAGTGACGTAATCAATATGCAAAACATGCGTGATCAACCCATTTGAAAAGTAATTATATATTGACTTTGCTTAAACCCTGCTCACTGCCCATGTTTAAAATTAGCCGTCTTTCAAAGCATATTGCGCATTTATAATTCAAAAAGTCATAACAGTATGCCCACAAATAATTAACTAGTAAAAATCACATCTTAGACCCAGATCTTATCTTCAAAATCATATTTTTAAAATCTTAATGAAAATAATTATTTAATTTTCTAAAAATTCTATCACTTTAAAATTAATAATTTTTTAAGAAAACTAAAACACTTATAACTATAATATTCTTAAATTTTAATGGTATTTTAAATCTTGTATAATAAATCTCATTTTAAAATGATGATTTTAAACTTTTTAAAATTAAGATATTTCAATGTAGAACTTTTAATATAATTAATTACGTCCTTAATATTATAAGGCAAAGTTAACTAACTTAGAGCTTATCAAGAAATGTTTATCATAATTTTAAAATTGTAAAAAATACGTAACTTTTTAATTTTACATTTATTTGCAATCAATGACTATACTAAATTGTTCTATAGGAATTCAAACAATAATAAATAAAAGAGATAAAATTGAAAAAAAAAACATAAATTACTCTATCTTTTATATTAAGGACCAAAACGGAGCTGTGTCCCAAAAAAGGGACCAAAACAAAGCTTTTAAATTTTTCCTTATATCAAGGATAGGAGAGAGTATATAATTATTATTCTTTAAAATCTAATGCTTAAATTTAAAATATACTTACAATTTTTATTTTTTAAAATAAGAATAAATATTTGATAATTTTATCGAAAGGCTAGAGTATAATGGGACAAGCTGAGCGATTGGCTTTGCACTTTCCTCAAACAAACCGACAAACCACGTGACACAAAGCTGAAGAGAAGATAATTAGGAGCATGACCTTATTGATCCTTCATCATCATCAACCTAGAAGATGATAAAGTTAGGGCCTTATAATTACAATTAGAAAAACGAAACAAAAAGATTAAAGAGAGTTTGAAAGTCTTCTAGAGAATTTATTAAGAAAATTAAAATAGAAAATTAAAAAGAGCTAGAAGGAAAAAAATTAAAATTACAAAAAAGTAATGGTAGACATCGTGATTAAGCAAAGACCCATGGTTGACAATGCCACTCCATCGGGAAAAAAAAAAAAGACATCACCTTTTCTCATTTATCTCACATAATAATATTCTACTGATTCCCATTAAAGTACTGCCAACATTAATTATCACATTTATGGCCAGAAAAGCAAAAAAAAAAAATTGTCTGTAATAATAATCATCATGATATTCCCCTGACTTGAGAAAAAGAAGAGCTGATTATAACATGATTATTTCTATATTTAATAATCTGACTTGTTACACTGACGTGTTGGACACATGGCACAGTGGCTCCGAGGACGACGACAACAACGACGATGATGATCTGGCAAAGCTCCACAGGTCAATCTCGCTGCTATTGTAATCTTGTGCGTGAGGGCTCATGTATGCAGCTCTGTGCGTGGACGTCGACGTCGACGATGAGGACGAACGTATGGTAGGCATTTGCATGTCTTGAACGACGTCGTTAGTGCAGTAACCCATCATGGCGCTGCCCGCGGGATCACTGAAGCAAGCCAGCTGCCTTGAAGACTCGGTCTGGCCATTGAGCTGCGAGGCCACGAGCCGATCCAGAGCCGCCCAGCTGGCGAGTCCTCCAACGTTAGATGTCTCCATGTGATGAACGGCCGTGAAGGACCCTTCGATCTCTGGAATCATAGGGTGGTACCCATTGTTGGTGTCGATATTATTATTATTCTCTAAGCTCGTGGATTTTGGACTTTCTAAGCTTGGGAGCTTCAAGAATCTTTCGCTGTAGTTGCTGGAACTATTATTACCGCCATTGTTGAAGCTCGCTAGAGTGAATCTTCCATTGTTGCTGTAATTCGTCTCGTTCTCTTCCTTGCAGCTTCTTCCCATCTGCTGAAGAATCTGCTCTAAGGCTCCCTCGTCGTCGCAGGAGTCGAACATGTGGCTTCTTCTGGTGCTTTCTCCAGTAATAATGGACGAAGCTAGGGGACAGTCTAGAGTTTTCAGATGGTTCTTCTTCTTGAATATTCTGCACACCACCCATCCTTCTTCCTGAGCTCCATCTCCCATCACATTCGGCACCTGAATACATACGGCACCAAGAAAATCCCATTAGTTCTACCAATGACCGAATAAGCAAACATGGGAAATCGGATACTGCCTTTTCGGAGTATCCAACCCACGAGATAGTATCCTCCCTTATAAGTAGTCAAAAGGATTTTGCTCTCAAGGTGTTTGCAGGAGAAGTCAAATTCAAATTATTTGAGAAAGTGATACTCTTCACTTCTACTAACCAAGCATATAACATCCAGCACCAAGTTCTGCCCACAGGAATGAAGGACACACACACACACACACACCAAATTCACAAAGAAAAGAGACTGTCTGTTAAGCCAATCGCTACAGAGTGAGTGGTTTATTTAGAATATGAATGTGTTTGTTTGGGTCATATACATGTGTACTTACGATGTTGGAGTCGCTGGTGTTGTCGTCCAATCGATATTCGTGCATGATCCAATCAGATTTCTGACCGTGAGGGGCTCGGCCTTTGTAGAAGACGAGAGTCTTCCTCATTCCGATCCTCTTCCCGTTGCTGTATATCACCTTGTCCCGGCCGGTGGCTTTCCAGAATCCGGCGGCCGTGGCTCTGTTGGTCCTTGTTCCGGTGGGGTACTTCTTGTCTTTGTGGCTAAAGAAGTACCAATCGTTTTGTGGGGTCGTTCCTATCTTACACTTCTCTGGCAAGACAAACCCAGAACTCCACTTCAACATACACTTTTGAATAATATAAATATAAGGACATGGAAAGCAAAGCAAGAAGAAGAAGAAGAAGAAGAAGAAGAAGAAGAAGAAAATGGTGATGTGATCATCACCTTGAATATCCCAGGGCTCGAGCTTGTTGAGATCGACGTCACGAATGACGTCGAGGTCAATCTTTTCGTAGGAGACCTTCTTCCTCAAGTAGTACTGCAAAAGCTCCTCTTCAGTGGGGTGGAATCTGAAGCCAGGAGGGACCTGAGACTGACCATTCACTGAAATACTCATGTTTTCCGGCATTCAGGTGAGGAGAAACCAGAAGGGAGGGGGAGAGAGTGAGGTTGGTTCAGTTAGGAAGCGGTTTGAAGAGTGAGTTCAAAATTTTCTGTGGAAACAAGCAGAGAGAGAACATTGGGAAGAGAGAAGAGGTAGATAACAAGAAAGGAAGAAGGAAGGAAAAGGGAAGATAATGAGGTGGTGTACTGGAATGGAGGAAGGGTGGAAGACTATATATATGTGGTGTGGGACAGAAAGGGCCAAAACATCCACGAGGATAATTTTTAAGTTTATTAAATATACCGCTTCCTCCGCCTTAATACTTTAATTTAACATTCTTCCTTATACGGTCAATTGAATGTCTTTCCTTCCACCCGAACATATCTTTATTTATAATTGCTTAACGGAACACAAGCCGGCCGGTAAATTGCAAGACCGTCGCCGTTAGTATTTATTATTAATATAGACCTTCACGGTCAAAACATTACTAACATTCTTAAAAGATTGTTGATATTCCATTTTACTACTTTAAACTTGACTACTGTTAATTTTTAATTTAATAATTAGCTAGTAACATAATGGTAAAAATATTTGTCATTATATTTATTTTTGATACATGTTAGCATAGATGTCAAACTCTCAAGTGTACTTTTCGTTACATTTCTAATTTACAAAATCGTGTTACTTCACTTATAAATTCAGACTAGATATAAACATGATTAAACTTTCGAGTTTACCTTCGAATTTATCATTTTTATTTTTTTTAACTTATAAAATTATGTCAATTAATTCATAAATTTGGATTAGATGTAAGTTTGTTAAACTTGTTAAGCTCGTTGATTTTTTTAAGTGGAATAGTTAAGTATATATTATGAAGAATTTAATTTATAAAAATTGTAGAATCTGGTTCAAGGAAATAAAACTTAAAAAGCAAAATCTAATATTAATATAAAAGAAAACAAAAGATGCCAACAATAAGTTTCCTTATTATAAAATTTTTATGTTTTGTATGATAATTTATCAATGTAAATGTGTTTAAATTCAATTATCTATATTTTAAATATATTTAAATCAAATTACAGCCATATATTATATTTTAATTATTTGATAATAAATTTTTAATGACTATTTATTAGTATTGGTAAACTCTTACAAATTTACAATTTAAGTTTGCAATCCAAATTTTCTTAAACTTGCAAGTTTAACAATCTTACATGTTAGTATAATTTGGGAGGATAGCAATCCACTATTAGAAAAATTAAAATTAGTGATGAACATTTAGTGACAGATTGGACTAATTATAGTTATTAGTGATGAAAATTTTGTGATAGACTAAAATCTATCACTAATTACATAAATTAGTGACAGATATATAATATCATCACATTTTGATCAAATTTTATAAATTTAGTGACTGATTTAAATCTATCACTAATTACCATCACTAAATATTTATATTAATGATAGATTAGTGATGGATAATCTTAATTAAAAAATTACTAAAATGCGCTTAAATATTATATAAAAATGAAAAATTTATAATATGCATGGAGAGAATTACATGAATAAAATATTAATAATTACCAAATTAAATAATTACATAATAATTTTTCTGTTATTATAAGTAAAATATGTAATATAAAATCATATAGAAAAATAAAAAATATTTTTTATTTTATTATGTAAATTTATATAAAAAAATTTTTATCATCTCAACGTATTTTAATTATAACATAGATAATATAAAAATATTTGTTCTCATAAAAATATACAGTGATATTAAATAATATATTTATTAACTAATAATATATACTAATTTATATATTTATATGTGTTAATGTATATATATAAATTAATATATATTATCAACATATTTAAATAATAACATATTAAATAAATTTAAAATACATTAAGTTAAACATATGTGTTTAATTAAATTATATATATATATATATATATATATTAAATTTTGCGTATTAAGAATGAAAAGTCATTATAGCTCAATGGAAAAAAGGTGTTGAAGAAAGAAGGGAATCTTAGTCTCAAGACGAGGTAATGTCACAAACAAAGATAATTAAAATAAATTGTTAACATGGCGGTGATGTGGCATGAAGAACCAAGTTAAAACGATGTGACAGGTGATAAGGGTGGTGTGTACTTGAAACACAGCATGGGAAGGTGACATGGTAGTGTTTGGACTCTCAAAATTTTTTTAATTATAAAATAAATTAATGATGGATATTTATTAATTAGTAATGGATATTTTTCATTACTAAATTAGTGATAGACTTGTGTCTGTCACTAAATTAGTGATATAATATTAGTGACAGAAATCAATGAGGAAGGGTCTGTCACTAAAGCTAAAATTAGTGATGCATTTTGTTGATTAATGACATATTTCTCCATTACTAATTGTATTTTTTCTAGCAGTGGTCTAATTATATACTTAATTACATACATATATACATATTAGGAATGGAGAGTGACCATACACAAATGAAGGAAGAGAATAAATGGGTGATGATAAGGCACTTTCTAGAAGAGATTGGTGGTCTAAATATAAAGTTATTTGGTTGGTATAATTTTTTTTAATATTAATCTTATTTAATAAACTTATTGACTATGAAAAAGAATATAATATAAATTTTAAAAAAATTTATTTAAAAATGAAAAAAAATTAAAAAAGTTTATTTTATTTGCAAATAAAGTTAATGAGTGAACTACGAGATCTCTCCTTGATTCCAGATTCCAAAGTATTCACGGGTTAAAATAAATTTAGATAGAAAGCACGTGTTGCTTGTTTTGGGACAATAATAGTGAATTTTAATTAACAAGAGGGTACGCATACTGTACGGGCACTAGCGAGGCAAAAGAGGTGAAGTAGAAGAAGGGTAGAAAAAGGAGCCGGGGGGGGGGGAGGGTGACAACGGAAGAAAAAGAAAAAGAAAAACGAAAAGGAAAGGAGAGTACCAGAAAGGAGGGAGGTGGGGCCCGGGGGGTATGCGGCAGAGAAATGTGGGGAGGAGGCCGGAAGGGCGCACGCACACATCCATAACTACGACCTCTGACCTTAAAATCTCAAAGGAAAAGCACCTCTTAAACAACCGACCATGGACCATCTTCTCTCTCCTCCAACCACTGCCAGCCACACCATCACCATACATCTGCGTCTCCTTGATCCCATGCTTTTTCACATTCATTCATACGTATCATTTTTCACGCCCTGTTTTTGTTTTCTTTCTTTCCTTCCTTCTTTTTATTTTTCTCCTTTTCTCTTCCTCCTTCATTCCCTTATTTAATTCTCACATGCAAATAGTAGCCATGAATAATATGATGTATATCTCAAAACTTGTACGTTGAATATATTTTTAAAAATTAATGATTATTTTAAAAGGAATTGTTATACTTTAATTATGTTAATTACCATAACCTCCCTACTTAAAAAGCTATTCATTTTGCCCCCAATATTTAAAACCACTGTTTCCACCCATTATTCTCCATTAAGAGAGCCAACGGTGCTGCACTTGAGGCTATAACTTCTGCAATGTTTGAAGAGGGAGGAAAGTTCATACATACATACATACATGTGTGTGTGTGTGTGTGTTTTTTTTTTTTTGGTTTTCTCCCCGATTTATTCAAGAAAAAATTGTATTATTATTCGGGAAAATGTTCGTGCAGGCAAAATAATCTTGAAGGACAGCGTCTATATACATGGCTATAGATTTTCTCCAACACTATTCCGCCAACAAAACTTTGTGCTAAACACCTCCTATAATCCAGTTTAACATAATTCTCAATGACGCGTATCTCAAATCCATTTTAATGCTTGTCTGATGAAAAACATATGAAATCTATTTATAGGTGTTTATAGAGAGGGGATTGGCTTTTTCATGGACGTGGACTATTAAAATATAAAAGAAACTCTACATATAAGATTAGAAGATGGATTATCCATATATAAACTTAGGAAGTATCTAACCAATTGGTTTAAGCTATTTTAGTATAGTATACTATGTTTAGACATATATACTTAATATAAAAAATCTAATGTAATATCATGAGCCATTTGATTAAAAACAAAAAAACAAAAAGAAGAGGCAAGAAAAAAAAAAGAATGAAAAAAATGAAAGATTAAAAAAACCAAAAGATTAAAAAAAGATAGGAGCGTAAGAAGAAATTGAGTAGACTTGAAATTTTTGAGACTAAAAAAAAGTATAAGCTCAAGCAAGAAGAAGAAGAAAATGAAAAAATAAGGAGGGAGAGGGGGGAGAGAGAGAGAAGTAGTAAAGAGAATATTAGAATAAAAAAAAGTACCATATGTAAAGATTTGAAGATAGATTATTGATATATAAACTTAAAAAATATCTAATCAATTAGTTTAAATTATTTTGGTAGAGTATACTATACAAGTAATAGTTAATATAAGAAATTTAATATGGACCATGATTAGATACACAGTACCCAACTGTCATTTGTTTCATTAAATGTTATGTAGATAGATCAATGAGATATAGAGTATAGGACACGACGTCTGTCTAATTTAATTGTCTATATAAAGCACCTCTATTTGGAAACATGGAAACTTGTTATACAAGGTTTCATCTACTGATAGAGAAAAGCATATCCAAAGCTCAATATCAGAATTAAGTTCGTTTTTTGGATTTCCAAAAGAAAAAAGAAAGAAAAAGAACAAGTTTTGGCAGTAACAAGATACTCCGATTTACAAAAATATTGTTTAGTACATATAAAATCAAACTTAGGATGGAATATATAAATAAACAATACGTGTGAAGAAAGGGTTTGAATTAGTATCATGTAGTGAGAGAGAAGAAGCTAAGGTTGATGAATAATTCATTCAGCATCAGCGTCGTTACTATTCTTTTTGACCGTCTGGCATCAGCAACAGCCCTGAATTGTCACCTTTATATACAACCACCAAGCTAGTTAATATCACCATTGACTATTTGTGTTTGTTCAATTAATATCTCCATCTCAATACATCATCTTTTCAAACCCTTCATTTTACAAAGACCTAGCTTCAACGTCTTCCTTATAATAGGATCTTCCTCCCCATCTCGTGCACACCACGCACACGAAATAAATATTGGTGAAGTAATTTGGATAATATATTTAACTTCATATTATACGTTATTTTCTTTTATTAAGAAAATATAGGCCGACTTTGCAGAGATCCAAGA